GCTTTGGCCTTACTGGACTGATGAGGGGTAGGAGCAGTGTGTGTTTGTTTATGCAGCCCCCAGTTAGACTGTAGATTGATCACAGTAAAAGCTGTTGAATGTTCCTGCAACGTGAGTGGCATTTGTATGTTTTTCATCAACATCTGTGGAGTCCTTCTTTCCCCTCCTGTGCATGTGGGGGTACACAGAAATAGCTCACAGCCCGGACAGCGGGCTATATTGAGATGGAGATGTAAATTAAGCAAAGAAGTGGAGAGAGAACAATATCCTGATAGAAAGCAACACACTGTTCCCCAATTTCAGGGATGTATTTAGTCAGAGCTGGCACGGCCAGTGTAAGGAAGAGAAGGAAGGGGAAAGGAACTGGGCAGAGAGGAGACAGAGAGGCAGATGGGGAACAGCTCTGGCACAGACTCAGGGAAGGAACTGATTGCCAGTCGTTAATCAGAGCCAGCCTGTGTTCAGTTTGTGAGCTGATCTCCTGTGCTGTGGAGTTTCTCTTTCGAGGAATGGGACCTTTCTGTGCTGGAGTGAGTCCCTGTTACTGCACACAAACCTAGGGAGAAAGGAGGGAGACCAGCTCGTGTTCTCAGTTTGTCTCACTGAAGATGAGGAGGGGAAGGAAAGCAGGGAGAATCTAGGGAAGAAGCTCTTCCCACCAGCAGAAAAAATACTGCTGTACAAAAGGGAATGTGGGTGGCAGTGATTTGTAAGGAGAAATCACAGTTTGGCTAAGTAGTGACTTTGGAGGAGGACATGAAAATACGTCTTGAGTATTTGAAAGAGGAGGAGGAATTACTGAGGGTGGTCTAAAAGAACAAAAGCTACAATAGTAGGTTAAAATTTAGAAAGTACATATAAAGTATGAAGAGATTTTTCCTAACAGTGAACTCTGTCAGAAACTAAAGCTGCCTCTGAGAGGTTTTAACAAGATCACTATTGGATTTGAATATAGATGGGAAATAAGATGGGACCAACTGGAAATAGACTCAAGCCATAAATAACGGGTGTAATCCCTTTATTTTGTGATAAGAAGACAAAGGGGTCTTCTGCTGTCAGCCCCTTGGGAACTGAGTGCTACAAGAAAAAAGGAATATGAGGATCCTAGAAGAGCTTGTCCCAGAGCTGCTGGGCTGAGGGTGTGCACGTTAAAGAATCTTTATTTCAGCCCAAACAGATGTCTCGTGTAATGTTTCTTTGTCCGCCGCGGTGCTGAAACGTTTCCATCTCCCGTGCAGCCTGGGAAGGGAAGCAGCCGGACGGGCGGGCGGGCAGCCCCCACCACCCCACCTCCTCCGTCAAGCTCGAGAACTCCCTGCCAGGGCTGGGGAAGAAGCCGTTCCAGAGATCTGACAGGCTCCACGCAAGTAAGAGATTTATTCTTCTGCTTACAGAGGTCTGGTTGCTCTGATGGCGGAACAAAAAACCTAAATAGCAAAATTGAGTAAAATGCGTAATTATTCCATTGCTAAAGTGACTTCTGGAGAGCTCTGGAAGGGGCTGCTAGTGTGCTCTGTGAATTGGGATAAATAATTCAAACCTTACATATGCAAATATGCCTCTTCTCATTTCTCATCATCAGGGGTTTCTCCCTGTGAATTTGCAGCTTGCTGTTTGAGAAGCAAAAAAGGACTTGCATTATTTATCAGGCTTTTTAATGTACTTAAGACATTTTGGTAACTTTAAAAAGAAAAAAGAAATGCCTTCCCAGATCTTTATACATCAGACCCTGCTGTATTTGGTTTCCTTCCCATTCACTGAAGTAGCTGTCTTGACCTTTTGCGGTTTCTCTCACATATACCAGTGATGGACTGACCTGGGTGAGCTTAGGGACATTCTGAGGTCCCTGTCTCTGCTAATCATCCTGCATTTCCTTTAGCACTAAATAGGCACTGCTCAGGGTGTATTCCATTTTTCTCCATGTAATTAGGAGATTCTGCAACTTCAGTAGATTATAAACCTGCAGAGCCATTTTCTGAATGACTGTTAATAGAGCAAACTTCCCCTAATGGAGCAAGCCCCCGTGGTGTTTATGTTGTGAGGTGCTGTTACCTTACAAATAATGCTCTCATCCCGGAGTCAGGGGGAGTCAGGCTCTGGCTTAATAGTGCCCCTTTCACTGATAATGCACTTTTAGTCTAAGCTTCAAAACACACCATGTTTTGCCAGTAATAGGCAGTGATGGATCCGAAAAAATAAGAGTACACAGTGAAATGCCTTTTCTTCTTTTTCTTTTCATTTCTTTTTCATTTTTCTTCTCTGAATTTGCAGCAGGCATGAGGCTGTAGCATATGGGTTAATGCTGGACCTGCAGGCTTGCAAACTCAGAAAAGGAAAGGGGGTAGTTCCTTGGTTCTGCTGCTTTCTCTGCTGGTGTGGTTTCTGCAAAGCACAATGAGCTGGTGATTTTTTTCTGAACTGCTTTTGCTGAGAGCAGAGTAGGAAAGTCCAAGAAGAAATCCTGAGGAACAAACTGACCTGAACTAGGGGCTTAAAATAGAAAATCGATGTGGCCAAAAGCAGTTTAGAAACCCTCCTGAGAAAGACTCCTTGCCAGTCCCAGGTAGCCAGGATGGCTGCAGAAGACAGGGGAACTGACACAGGCTACAGTGTGTTAGGCGTGGAAATCTTCTGTGCTGGAAATCACCTCCACATGGTTTTTTTAATTATATGTGTAAAGGTAAAGTGTATATTTCAAGTCAAGGTATGAAATGGATTGCTGAAGTTGCATTTTGAAAATCTTAGGTAGTGTGAA